ATACAATAACTGGTTCTATCTGGCCGACTTATGGAAATTGATACTGAAATAGATGAAGAAAATTACTTATTGATCAAGTCAATGTTAATAATAATGATATTATTAAATGCTTGATTATGATAAAATAATTGCAATAGTTCAAGAAGCACCCGAAGAAGATGAAGAGGACCTACCAATATTTGATAAAATTACTTTAGAAAGCATTCAGAATCCATATTAATATAAATGGAAAATTGATAGAATTCTTTAAAACAAACTAGTATGGATATTTATAGTTTCAACTATTTATTATTATTATTTTCTTTTTTTTATCTTGCAAATGATAAATTGCCACTTGTGTCTGACTTATCAAGTTACACATTACGCTTCGAATTATTCGAATTACTCGTTCTATTCGTTTTATAAAATATAAAATATCAATTTACAGCTTGATGCAACAAATTCTATGTTATTTTTATAAATAATAATAAGGATTAATTATATTTATAATCTACTATTATTACCATACAAGGGCTACGAAAGAAAAATAGATTGATAAAGAAAATAATTTTAATAAGCAATTTTAATTTGTATATCTTATTAATTCATTAGTTTTATTGAATTGTTAGTTTTATTTGAATAAACCTTTAATGTAATTTGAATACTCAAATTCATAAAGAATAAGACGAATAATTCGAATAAGCCTTATTCGAATAGAAACTTTACCAACTGGTTCCATTGTCTTAAAATCATGAATTTTTAATAATATAATACCATTCCATGAATCTTACTTGCAGTGCTTTGAATATGGTACATGCAATAAAAAATTCTTTTAAAAGAATTAGATTTATCATCAAAAATATTGGGCTTAACAACTGATAATGCAGCAGAAATGGTAGCATTTGTAAGGAAATGAACACTTTTACAAATAATCATCATGTTCATATCATTATGGTTCTCGCATATTCAATATTGTTCAATCATTAAAGTACATAATTTTATGAAGAGGTTTGTAATTCTATATCTTATGGGATATTTCAATCACAATTAGTTGGATTTTATGCGCCACAACTTGATGTGGAACTCCACCTATTTGATGCAACAATTCAAAACACAAGCAAAGATGAAGAGGATAGATAGTAGTGATGATGAGGTTTAAAATAGCTTTAATTGTTGGAACAAATAATTTGTTTTTTAAAAAAAAAATTTTTTTTCATTTTATTATAAAGTGACTTGATAATTTTGACCACCAATAAAAAATTATAAACTGCGATTAAACTTGGGTTTGAACCCACGATAGTAAAACCCGCTGATAGGCGTGATTCACTAGTACTAGCTAAACTGGTGGTTTATAAACCAAATCGAACCTAATACTAATAGAAGATTTTGTGACGTTCAACATTTTGTGCCATAAAATCATTTTTGTGTCACTTTGCACAGTTGAGCCATGTATTTTTTGTGCCTTTTTCTCCATAGAAAGTAATTTATATTAATATTTAATATTAAATACAATAATGACTGAAAAGAGAAGTTCATTATGCATTATACATTATAGAAAGAAAGGGTCATTATTGTAAACTTTTTTATTACTTTGCATAATAATAATAAATATAAACATTTATGTAGGGTTACGAATACAAAGTCCAAAAACTGTAAAATTTGATTTTTCTATAAAAAGCGATCTGGTTATAAGAAATACCATTGGCGTTTACTATGTTGTACCACAGACATTATTATTTGTTCCCGATATTACGTCATAATAATAAATTACAAATAATAATAGAACTTACTATATTATTATAATATTTAAAAATTCACTCTCCTCAAATCACTCAGTTTCTCCAAAAAATAATAATAAATAAGCTCTTTCTTATTTTGATATTTGACCCTACTCGTTCAATATCATTAAACTAATTTTATAACTACACAAATATAATAAATCTTATTAAAACAAAACAAATCCAACAAAAGTTTTTTTTTTCCTGAAGATATAAAGAGTATCTTCTAATAATTGCAATTTGCCTCCTTAATATGTCCGCTGGTCTTGATATGTCACTCGACGATATTATTGCAAAAAAGAGACCTTTTACAAGAGGTGGTAGTAATAGATCTTTTGGTGTTGGTTCAAATCGTGGAGCTAGAAGTAGTGGAAATAATAATAATGGTACTATGAGGCGTTCAGGTGGACCAATCAGAAATTCAAGAACACAAACTAGACATCGACCATATAGTTCTTCAGCTGCAACAGCTAACATCAACTCTATAACTGAAGGAAAAATTTTAGTTTCTAACCTAGCTTTTAAAGTCTCTGAGGCAGATCTTTGGGTAAATATTTTATTAAAAAAAAATAAAACTGTCTTAAAATAAATAGTTTAAAAAAAAAGACAAGGCACATTTATATAATAATAAGTGAAATAATAAAAAGAGAGGAGGCAAATCAGATTCTTTGGTGCCAAAGCTTTGACGACCTTTGTACGAATATTATTTATATACATACATACATATATATATATATATATCGTCAATGGCCATTCTTCACAATAAAAAAAAATGCAAAGAAAGATTATTATTTTATATATATGTCTATTAGAAATTTATATAATTATATAAACACACACTTATCAATCCACCTCATCACAAAAAAAAATATATCATTTGACACACACTATATATATATATATATATATATATATATTATATATATCTGTATGTAACAACACCAGGAACTTTTTACAACGATGATCGGGCCTGTACGTCAAGTCAACCTTAACTTTGATCAAAATGGACGTTCAAAGGGAACAGCATCTGTCGTTTTTCAAAAGAGCACTGATGCCGTCAAATCAGTGGAGAAACTTAGAAATGTTACTTTAGATGGTTGGTGAATTAAATCTTAAAAAAAACACAATCTTTTGATCCTTTAAATATAATACAATAATAATAATAATAAATCAAAATTAAAACGAGTGCAGTTTTTTTTTTGGTATATTATTCAATATTATTAAAAAATTACATGAATATTAATATAATTTTGAACTTTGTTAGGCCGTGAAATTAAAATCGAAATTGTTGTAGCTCCCAACTCTCCAATTACTCAACGTATTGGTGGGCTCAATGAGTAAGTTGAATAATATTAATTATTATTATTATTATTACTATTATTATTATTATTTCCAAATTAATTAATTTTATTAATAAATGAAATAATCTTATATAGAAATCGTACTTCTTCATCTCCCTCAACACGTGGCATTAATGGAAGTGTACGCGGTACTAGGGGTGCTACTCGTGGAGGGTCTAGAGGCGGCAGAGGAATTGGTGGTAGAGGAGGAGCTCGTAGATCTGACAATAGACCAAAGAAAACCCAAGATGAATTAGATGCAGAAATGAGCGAATATATGCAGATTGACGAGGTATATATAGATATTTTTTTTAAAGATATATGTGTGACGATGATGACGACAATTCATTTGTTTATTTATTATTATTTATTTTGTTTTTTGAAATTAGGGTTTGGAACCAGTTAACGTTTAAATGAAATGAAGTATGATTGATTTGGTTAAGAGATGATTATCATTATTTATCAATTAATAAAAAAAATTATTATTTTCAATTAAATTTTATTTTATTTATATAAATATATACCTTGCTCATATATATATGCAATTTATTATTATTATCGAAAAACAATAATACTATTAATATTATATTTACAAGAAGTCGTTGTTGTTTTTGTCAACGGTAATAATAATATACAGTTCAAATTTACATTTATCATTAGTTAATGAAATTTTATTATTATTATTATTTATATATATATATACACACATAACCATTAGACATTAGATTATTTTTTTATTTTTTTCCCAATAAATAAATTTATTATATATAACTCAAAACAACAATTGTACTGTGTGATATTATTAGTGTATCCTCCATATTCTTTTGTTAGGATATTGCCTAATGTCTTTTTTTCTTTTGCATATACTTATTAGAATCTTTTATTTATTGACAAATCTCATGTACTCTCTTAATTTGCACCCTGATTTCTTGTAAATAAAATTTCCTTTTCTGAAAGGCGCACAAAATGCATTTGCAATTTTGAGATGTCTTCTTCCAGTGGCCACTCATTTTTTCCAAAGGAAAGTAAATTGTAAACTTCCAATATCCAGTTTCTCTTTAACTTTCTTAACACATATTCTTGTAAAACTCAATTTCATTGGGAATATTTTTTAGACTTAATGGTAATGTGCCTTTGGATTAAAGCATGGGCTAACTAATTGGACAACAACTTTACCTTTTCAGGCATTTGGCGCTTGCTACTTTTTTTACACACTTTCTTGACATTCTCCTGGTGTAGGTTTTAAGTCCTCTCTTTGACCAATTGATTATTTTTTTGTGATAAATATAATAATGAGATTGTCCTTTGTAAAAAATACAAATGTGAAATCCACTATTAGAAGTATTTTAAAAAGGAATAGGGTGAGAAAATAGCCTTTTAAATTAACTGGTGCTCGGGAATCTGAAAGATTATCTAAGGAAAGAGAAAACTACTTGGGAAATTTACAAAAAAGAAAGAAAAATAAATAAACATTAGGAAAATAATGCATAATCAAAATGAATAATCACCTAATAAAAAGCGGAAATAGCATGATGTGGAGGCTTATAACTATATAATTGGAGATTGTAAAATAGGCAAATTATCTATCTTTTCATTGTTAGTTTTTTTAAATAATAATAGCTACAATAATAAATACAAAGGCTGTAACTATTAATCATAATCAAATCAAATAGATTTACCATCAACCTTTCCTTTTTTCTTTGGATATGTTTGTAAGTTGCTACTTACTGCCTTTTCAAAATCTTCATTCTTAAGGATGGAAACCAAAGTAGTGAGGTGATGAACATTAGAGCCTTGAGTATACCTGTTGCATTTAAAATCTAGAACCACATGTGATTTCTTTGATGAAAATGCTAGCATCATCAACAAAGATATCAAAATCCGGGTGGTGGTTTTCCTTAACCTAACTCCATTTTTGAGGAGAATAGCCTTCTCTTGGTTTAGAAGAGGAAACAATATACATTTGAGATAATTTAATGTCAAGAAATTTACCAAATGTGTAGCTTGGAATTTATCATGTTATGTTATCAACTGAAGATTTATGTTTTCCTTTAACAATACAAGTCACCACAATCAATTTACTGATCATATCTTTTTTATTATGAAGATACCAAAACTGATCCCTAGTAAACTAATAAGTTCACGATGAAACCAACCTTTCACTAAATCAGTCCCTGTAAAGGTATTCAAACATATATAAAATCAAATGGTTATTACCCATTGTAATAATGCAATTGCATATTATATACCCTCAAAACTATTTGATAAATTGCTTGTATCTCTATTAAGACTACCAGAGAAGTTGTTAGTAGAATAGTAGAATTTTCATTGTATTTATTTTTTAATTTTTTTTTTCTTAGTAATATTAAAAAAGATTTCTAATTTAATCATTTCTTTTAAAGCTAGTAATGATTTGAAAGAAAGAAGGATGATTGCTGTAATGTTCTTTATTTCTTTTTTTATTAATTCCAGCAATTTGCCATTGGATAGATATGGTTGGCTCAGTCTAAAGACCTCCTATTGGTGTGCCATGTGGCCAAATTTCGAAATATATATGGGCATGCTGCAACAAAACCAGACAAAGTGAACATTGGTATTACCAAGATTTTCAGGATCAATAATGTTTAACATCACAATTGTATTGACAATGTAACATGATCATGATATTTGTTTAGACAAAAAAGTTAATATGAAACTCATTTACATCCAATCTACAACGGAACCCAAAAATTACAGCATCATTAGAAGTATTTTGAAGAAAGAGCAAGGTGAAAAAATTGCTTCTTATATTTTTAAATTAGCAGATACCAACCAAATCTTTGCAAACATATTTAGACAAAGAAAGGATTACCTATGAAATTTATCAAGAGGAAAGAGTTTTCAAAAG